GCATTTTTGAAAATCAGGTAGTGTGAGAACGAGGACACAAAGCATTTTTGGAAAGCCTTGGGTATTGCGGGAGTTTAACTAAATGTCTCCTTTTTAAAGAATTCAGTTATGGGTGTCATGATGGTATTAAAGTCTCATATAAAGTGTTTATAGAAGGATGTTAGGCCATCAAAGCTTCATATTCATGTACGGTACTCAATTTCAAACCATTCTCGAATGGTCTTAACCTTTTCTGGATCACAAGTAAGCCATGTTGATAAACATGGTTTTGAGGAAGGAACATCTAGAGAAGTTAAGATAGAATTGTTCCTCTCGAAGAATAAGGAAGACTTATTGAAGGTGGACCAAACAGTCATCCTTAAATTTGCTAAATATCAGTATGTCATTAAAGTATACAACCAAGAATTTTTCCAATTAGGGTTGAAGTATGGGTCATGACTCTTATGGAAGTTCTAGGGGAATTTGTTAAACCAAAATGCATAATTAACTACTCATATAATCTAGCCTGGGTCTTGAAAGTGGTTTTTCACTTATCTTCAAGCTTAATCTAAATTTGATGATACCCACTTTGAAGATCAAGTTTAGAAAACCAAGTAGACCCAAAAACTAAGTCTTGTATATCATTGAGCCTATAGATTAGAAATCAGTACTTAATAGTTATTTATTAATGGCTTGGCGCCGAAGAACATCTTCTAAGAACCGTCCTTTTGTGTTAGATGTAGCCTTTCTTAAAGTAATCAATTAATTTGTCAGTTTAGCTCATCTCTTTCTTTAAGGTTCATCCTGTAGTATGATAAGTTAGGAAGTTGTGATCCAAGAATTAAATCTATTGCATGTTGGATATCTCTTATAGGTGGCAATTTCGAAGGCAATTCCTCTGGTGACATATCTTTAAACTCATCCAACAATTAGAACACTTTGATAGGCACAAGAGTTGGTGTGGGTTGAGCAATTACTTTTGAAACAACCACAAGAATAATGTTAACCTCCTTACTTTCTTGCACAAACTACTTTTCTATTAGTAAGGAAGTTGTGATCCAAGAATTAAGTCTATTGTGTGTTGGATATCTCTTATAGGTGGCAATTCTGAAGGCAATTCCTTAGGTGACATATCTTTAAACTCGTCCAACAATTAGGACACTTTGAAGCATAAGAGTTGGTGTGGGTTAAGCAATTGCTTTTGAAACAACCACAAGAATAATGTTAATCTCCTTGCTTTCTTGCACAAATTGCTTTTCTATTAGTAAGTGGAGGTTATGACAGTGTGGTTTTGAACCCTTAGAGCTAGGAGAACTATTGCCTTATGTTTCTGGTTTGGTAGGACATAAAAGAATAGTCTTGCCATAATGTTTGAACGTATGGGTATTTACTTGGCTATGTATAGTGATATCATGGTTCTTGATAGTGGCCTAAACGTAGGGGTACTTAGCATTATTGCGTTATAGGCAAGGAGGTGTTGTCAATCCAAGTGACACGAAAAGGTTTAGGAAAACTGTTACAAATTTCAACTAACCTAGAGTAAAATTTGGCCTAGGATGAGGTCGGATGTATGTGAGGAATATGTGTAATTTTAGAATGTGGAGTGAGCGTAAATCAATAAAAAAGTAATTAAGTTAATGAAGAAAAAAAAGAAATTACACACATATGTATCTTTTTTTTTTTGCCCTTTGCTTTTTTTTTACGTTAAATAAAATTGAGATTACAAAATAGACAAATAAAAAATGCTCAAAATAAATAAAATATTCACATTAAACCTTCAAAAATGCTAAAAGTAACAATAAATAGAGGGTCAATTGGGCTTTACCAACACGACTTAAGAAAGCCGATAAATAAGAATATTTACCCCAATAGCATTGCAAGATAATTTGCAGCTTTGGGAAGATTTGGGGTGACAAAACAGCATGAACAATAATGGAAAGCATCAATAATGCAGTTTGGATGAATTAGGAGTGATAGGTGTGTGCAACACGTGTTGAAAGTGGATTTCATGCGTAGGAAAGGGATGTAGAACTAGACTCTAGTACCAATTGATGTGAAACAAGAAAGAGGAGAGGGGAAGATAGAGAAGGGAGAAGGGAGGATGAAGAAAAAACTGTATACTCCCTCCGTTAAAAAATATAAGGCATTTTTTAAATAATTAAATGTTAAAAAATATAAGACATTTTTAGTATTTTAAAGTGTTATTATTGCCTTTTTTTTTCTAAAAGTGTCCCTATTAAATAAATTACTTTTTATTTATTTTAAGATGAAACACCCTATTAAATAAGGGTAAATATGAAAAGATAGGATTAGTTTGAACACAACTTTATTAGAGGTGAGATTCGGTTAAAAATGTTTTCCATTTTTTAATGGATGAAGTAATTCTTATTCAAATGCCAAAATAGTTTACAAAAGGAATTCCAACTCTATTTATAGAGCTCTAAAATTAATAAAGAATAATAAAATAATAATGTAAATTTGCCTAAAATCAATAGAATGTGATAAGATATCTAGCTAACCGAGATATCATATTTTATTTGATAATGCTTAAAAGGTACTAAAGATAATCTAAATTTACCTAGATATTTTATTTTATTCAAAATAAATGAAATCTAAATGTTAAATGCTAAATCAAATCTTATAAAATAAATTCTAAGTCAAATTAGATATCATTTCCATCACTATATGACCTTATAAATAAGGACAAAGAGTAATATGAAATTTTTACCAAAGTTGATAGCAATTTTAATGATTAATTCCTTGATAAAGCAATTATAGAAACCTTGACCTATGTGGATCACAATCATATGAAAAAATTATGATTTCCATAAATATTATACATACATACATACATATATATTATAACCTATTTTTGGAATATCTCTTATATTTTAATTATCAATTATTAATATCTTATCTTATCTTTTGTAAAATATAATATTGATTATTGTTGGTTTTACAGTAAAAATAATCGTAATGTAATAATGAGTTGTCGTCATTTCATTGGTTATTTTGGGTCTAATTTAATCATTTAATTAATATTGTTGAATCCTGATTTTGATGATAACAAATTAAAAAAGAATTTTTTGACATGTATTTAATTAATTAATAAAAGGGAAGTCAAGGTACAAATGTGCTATATTGCTTAAAGCTCTAATTTTGAAATTTTTCTAAGTATTACTAGGGGTCTTAGATCCTTTCTATTACTATTCTGTGCCTCCTACCATATTGACTATCTTGAAAAATAATGAGTTTTACAAAGTGTTTACTCTATCAATACCGATTCCTTATTTACGAGGCTTTGGTTTTTGGCATTAGCTTCAGTAAACTTCATTTTTTTTGATTTAATTCTTCCAAGTCATTCTTAAGAGATTTATAAGCTTCTCTACTAGTATTAATTCTTTTTAAACACACGTTAGGTGTCATTTCATCTTGTTCCAAATTCTTTCTATTTGCATTGTGTCTCCTCTATCAGTATTCTTCTAACCTACATTTTGTCAATACATAAAATGTATTTAGCTATTTATTATCTTGTTGTTGTGAGTGAGAAATTTCGCTATAAAACACTGATCATCACCTTTCTTTTCAGAGAAACACATGAGAGAGAAGATCAACACTCCAATGGCTAATTTAATGAGTTTCATGAGTCTTTAAAGCTCTTAACTATAAATAAGCTCATTTATGAAGAGAAAGGCAGAAGAGTCATTTCACGAACTACCTTATGCATGACTTGTCAACTTTCTATGATTTCATTTATTATATCTTAGTTTTTTGAGAGAATTTTCACTCTTATAGTTTACTTTGTGAATTTGCTCTACTTATCCCCGTTTTTCATATATGAGAATAGAGAACTTAAGCTTGGGAGCTTCAGTGAGGTTAATCATTATCTTTATAAAAGAGTGATTCAAACTTGTTTAGATTTGTATTATGACAATTAAAAACTCAGATTAATCTTAGTAGATTTAGTAGAGAAAATTTTAAGTGAAACTTGAGGACTGAATGTAAGCTCATATTATTGGAGCTAAACCAAAATAAATGCTCATGCACTCCTCTCTCTTATTCTCTGGATATTTGGTGATATTGTTCCTTAACTAAACTCATTTAATTTTAGCATTATTCGCCCAAAATATTGATTTAGCTCAATTCACCTCTTGTTGGGCTCATTTACAAATGTATTTTTGGGCTTCACGTTGCGATTTGTTTTGGACTTTTATTTAGTTCTGATTGGCCCAAACATTCAGGATATTATTCCTACCTTGAGATGGCATTGTTTGCTTCGGCGGGTTTGTGATAAGCTCTGCAATTTTAATTTTTTGGCTCTGTTTTTAGTTTATTTTTTTATGTTTGGCATATTTTTTGTTTTTTTTTTTTGTTTTGGTGCGTGTTTGTTGTTCTGCTGCCGCCGTGTGCATTATGCTGCATTTCTTAGTTAAACGGTGTCAAATGAAACCTGAAAAGAATATTTATTGGAACTGAGATTTTATAAAGTGTAATAATAATGATAAATGAAAATAAATTAACATGTTGAGAAGCGAGAAAATTAGATTAAAGAAAATATTTGCTAGCTGAACACGTATTTGGTTATATTTTAATCAAGTCTTGGTTATATTTTAATCAAGTCACACAAGAGTCGTTTTATATAATTGATTCCTGCTTCACTGCCTGAAAAACATTCCTTTCCCCTAGCATGAATAGAAAGTGGCAATTGAGGAATTGTGTATGGGCCTGGTAGAGTGGAGAGAAGGTGGATATTAAAGGGGATTGTTGGAAGGGCTTATTTTCTTATCCCTGAAATTACAGCTTCACTCCACTAGACCCATACTCTGTGGAGGGTTTTCTTCATTCAATAATACCACAGCAGACTGTTTCCCTAAAGATACCAATTGCCACTCACATGATACTTTGGAGGTAGATTTGCATATTAACCACACAAAAAAATAAGAGACGAAGAAAATGCAGAGGAAGTAATAGTACACAATCCCATACAACTTCCCAGACACTGTCAAGCAACACAGGCAAGGTGCGAAGACCAGCAATACTATTTCTAATATATTAAGTTATTGACAAATGGTTCTTTGTTTTTCCCGAAAAAGATAAAAAAAAATTAAATTCTTCCAAGTTATGAGCACATTACAGCTGCGTAACATAGATGTACAGAGAGCATGACGCAGACAAATTGGCAATACATGTAAAAGACAAATGTGGAGGATAGTAACAACAAGACAAAGCACTGTCTGAAGCTGCAAATAGTTCAAGTCAATGTGTGGATGACAGACTCGTCACATTATGCAGACAAAGCAAAGCTCTGTTGTGTCCAGTTTGGAGGATCCATCACAGCACACGGATCTGTTTTCTCAAAATCTGCAACCTACATTGACATGAACGTTGTAGTAATGCAATCTTGAAATAAGGCATTAATTAAATATCTTTGATATTTATGCAAGAAAAATTTAGACTAATACCTTTTGCTGGCATTGAGGACAGTAGTGATACTTATGCCAGAGGCAGTCCATTGAAGGACAAAGAAAGCAAAAACCAAGCATAAATGGCATCATGCAACCAACTAATGCTGCCAGGCTTGGTTTTGACCTGAGATTCACGAAAGAAAATCACATTTTATGATGATGAAAATAAGACGACTTTAGTTTGAAAAGAGGTGAATAAAAGAGAACAGTTAATTTATCAAAGGCTCACAATCAAAATGGTTTAGCTATTGCCTATTGTTCAACACAATAAATACCAACTGGCTACTCCACTTTCTGGAAGAAGAAAGGTTATGCCCATTCTAGCTAAAACCCAACCTGTTTGTTGATTTATATTGACAAATTTTCAGGAACTGGTTCCCACTTATCAGTTGCAACTTGAGAGCAACTACCAACAGTGTTACATGGGAAATGAGAATAGTAAGGGTAATTAGAGGAATTAGGGATAAAAGGGTATTTTGGATATTTATTCTCTATAAATAGGGTCTCTAGATTGTAATGGAGTCTTGGGAATGAAAATTCTATTTCTCTCCCTATTTCTCTTCTACCTCTATCAAAGGTATCAGAGCCAACTCTCTGGCCAAGGCTTTCTCAGAGATCCAATCCAATGAATGCATTGGTGCCCTTGAACATCATTTGGAGATGCAGTTGACTTTTCTCCAGTGCCACCAACAGACATTAGAATAGCAAAATCATGACTTCATTGAGATTAGGCAAACCATGTCTCAGCTTTCCCAACAGATGCATGAAATCTTGGTTAAGCTCTTTGTGCTTGCCAATTAGTGCTTGAGCCCTCTTATCGTTGCTATGGGTGAACCATTTAACATGTCATGTAACCTTCCACCCTCTCTTTCATCAATGATGACCTTTGCCTCTACTATAGCTATTCCTCTTTAGCCTTCGGTCACTGGAACAACAATCCTCATAGCAGTTGCAGAGTCAGAATAGCTGAACCATGTTTCAACCGTGAATGAGTTTGATGACCGGCAATAGAATAGTAACATCAACGCAGAAACAATGGCATAATTGAATGACATTGATGCAGATGAAGAACAAAAGCTTGAGCATGACGTGGAGATTGAAGCGGGTCAAGAGCAAGGGATTATAAAAGTAGCGCAAGACAAAGTTGCTAGACTAACTATGAATGAAGAGGAAGTCGATGCAATGCTCAAAACATTAAAGCCTAATGGGACCTCTAACACTGATGAAGATGAAGCAACATGAAACACAACCATCCTTGCTAGATTTTCACTGTCATTGCTATTTACTCCAAGCATTAGCCACAATTCACTGAGGAGGGGACGGGATGCACCAAACTCTTACTTGCACTACCTTCATACCACTCGCTGAAGATGATCACTCCATTCACTTGCTAGAGGATTTCTGACTGCAAAGTAGAAAGTGGAGAAAAAAAATCAAGGAATGCAAAGGACAACCCAGCGGTGAATTGGGTTGGGGAAACTCCATTTTTGGGTCAGGTAAGGTTGAAGAAGATGAGTTGGGTAGAACTTTGCAAGCAAGGTTTTAAAAACTGAACCGAACTGGCCAGTTCAACCAGTTGAACTAGGAACCAGTCATGAGTCCAATCCAGTATAACCTTAAAACCGGACTAAAAATAAACTGGTCAAAAACTAATAAAATCAGTCAACAACCGGAATAACCGGAAAAAGCGAAGCCCAATTTTCACTGATGAACCAAACCCAAAAAAAAAAACAAAAAAAAAAAAAACTAACATTAATGATAAAGTCATTCAGGCCCTACGTGCAAGACCACTGGGCACATCCTGCAGACTAATGCATCCGGTTTCCTGTACTTATAGTGAGCCTCAGCCATTTCCTCTTTCATTCCAAACGATGTGGGGCTAACTCGCTAATGTTCATTGTTTCTTCTTCTTTGCTTGCTGTTTGTAATTTTTTCTATTTTTCTCTTATCTTTAATGATATTTTTTGTTGATCTCCATGACTTTTTTATTAATAATATAAACATATATTTCATATTTATACTTCATAGTATCAATCTATATTTTTTCTTGATCAAAATATTTCAAATTTTTGTTTAAATTTATCTCTAAATTATGCTTGATGGTCATAATTTTAAAGAGCATAAACCATTTTAATTATTATCTACAATATATATTTCTTTTTTTTTATTGACCTTTGATGATGCTTTTAATCTTAATAAAAATTTCTTAATATGTGGATAAATAATAATTTGTATTTTAATTTATTTATCTCTTTTTTAAAATGTTCCATGTAAATATTTATACTTATCATTGTATTATTTTAATACATAAAATTTAAAATATATTAATTTATTAACCACTGGTTCAACAACGGTTCAATCCTTGTTGAACCAATGAATCGTGAACCACTACCCTAGCTGGTTCAATGACCGGTTCGGTTTTTAAAACCTTGTTTGCAAGTGATCATGGATATAGGGTTTTATTTGGGATTTACTCTATCCCCTCCAGCTGTGTGCGTTGCATGTGGAAGCGAGCTGGACCAAATCCAAAATTTGAGCTTCTCGAATTTTCTGCTGGGTGCATGTGCGATGATAAAAATACCCCAAGAGTCAAAGTTTTCCATGATGGCGGATTTGTCCTAGGTGTCTTCCATGTATTCTCCACGCAGCAGCAAGCAAGCTCCTTGTCACATGTTTTAGATAATTGTGGGCTATAACAGTGGGCTTGACAAAAGTGTGGGAGCTTCTACTTCTTCTTCTTCTTGTTTTTTTTTGGATTAAGTGCTGGGTTTCTGCAGCATTCCTGGGCCCAAAAGCCTCTTGGCAAGGGAATGGTAAGGGGTGGTTCTATTGGGGTGGCTCGTCCCTGACTCTGGCTAAGAGCACATTGATTCTGCCGTTGCCTTCAACTTCTTCAGCTCACTAACTCTAGTAGTCGAGCCTTTATGTGTTGTCATTTTGAGGGGGGGGGGGGGGGGGGGGGAAATCTTATTTTCAATGTATGCTTGTTTTACTTTCAGGTTTTGTACTCATCCTTGAGGACAAGGATCTCTTTTAGGAGGGAGTATATTGATACATGGGAATTGGAAATAGTAAGGGGAATTAGGGATAAAAGGGTAGTTTGGGTATTTGGGTATATTTTCTATAAATAGGATCTCTAGGTTGTAATGGGGTCTTGTGAAAGAAAATACTATTTCTCTCCCTCTATTTCCCTTCTACCTCTATCACAGGGTGTGATTCGAAGTAATAGCAAACTCAGACTTAACAATAGACTTTATCTCAACTCTCAGCTAAATGTAACAAGAGACCTGAAGCCTTAAACAGAAGCTTGATCAGTTTTGGGTAACACATATTCCGCTCTAATCTTAACCCTACCTAAAGATGAAGTCCTCAACCACATCTTCTGTGGCCACATGCTTTTTATTTATGCATATGCCTTGAACAAACTTGTTTCTTTTTATAATCATTAGTTGACCCAGAGAGCAGAAGAGATATTGACAAACAAAAAGAAGTTTCGTTAAAAGAGGTAAAGAAAAAAAAAATAAAATCCTATCATCTTGAAAGCAGCCACCAACTATACAATAGAATCCTCATAACTTTTGAAAAGGCTACCTCCTACTCTTCTTTGATATCCTGGCTCCAGACTTTTGAAAGTAACTTGAACAATATGACCACTCTATAGTTTATATTCAATAAGTCACATAGCTATCTCTTTCTTTAATTGTTAGACACAAAGTTAACAAATTTCGGACAGAAGAAACCAATAAATCAAAGAAAATTCATGAAAATATCAGTTACTAGGAATTATCTATATATATATATATATATATATTAAGCCAGACAAATTGACCGCCAGCAGCACTCGTGATGAAAAGTCACAATCGAGACAACTGGAAATGGAAACATGGGCGAAATTCTAAGATCTAAAAACATGCAATTAGCCAATAAAAGGCATCGAGTTTTGTATGGGTTTGAACTTCTTTGACTCTTTCCCTAAAGCAAACTGATTCTGTGAATTGAGCAACCACACATTGTTATTTGGACGGAGATCACATGTATTGAATTTCATTAATCAGAGATAGAAGTATTTCACATAAAACAGCAATAAAGAAGGAGAAACCTAAACAAGGGACTGATTGATAAAGAAACGATGAGTGACGAGATTACAGAAATACCTGACAGTAGTAAGGCCAGAGTTAGAACAGTGAACACAATTGAAAGGAGCAGGAGTGTCGCGGAAAATAGTCTGGTGGATGGGTACGCCTTTGGGATCGCCGACGAAAGCGTTGGGAGGGATGACGCCGGCTTGATGAGGGTTTCCGGCGGAATACGCATAATAAGGAACTCCGACCGCCACTTCTTCTTTTTTTCTCCATTCGATTTCTTGCTTTTCTCTGATCGCGATTCCAATCAGAATTGCATATACTGGCTTGATCAGTCTCCGTTTTTGTATGAGTTGATTTCTCCAACGCAGACAAACGCGTATTTGACCCTTTTTACATAGATCGGGGTATGTTATGTGATACGACTCAACGATTCTTCTACAAGCCGTTTGTTTTGGGGAAGAATTTTCCTAGGAAAACATTTGACATTCAACATCCGGACACATTACCATCAAACCCCGTACATTGCACGGACGCGGAAGGAAAACAATTGAGAGAAGCTATTGTTTAAAAAAATATATATATAATAGGCAAAAGAAAAGAAAACGTAACTTTGGATGCCCATATTTTACACAAGTTTTATGGGAGGTTTTTGAATTTTTTTAATATTTTAAATTTTTATAATTTTATTTTTGTACTCTACATTTCTAATTGAATAAAGTATAAAAATATTAAAAAAATTTAAAATATTAAAAAAATAAAAGTGGAGGAATTTAGAATATAAAATAATATGCATAAACTTATAGTAAAATATGAGTAAAGTGTAAAGATTTAAAAGTTATATTTAAAAAAAAATAAAGAAACAAGTAATTAGTCATATATCTCATGTAAGAATTTTGATCTTATGCATAATGATGTTGTTTAATTTTTTTTTTTTCAAATGTGTGGTCGTTACTGTTCTTTATTGTTTTCAATCACACACATATATGTGTTCAAATCTTCATATCATTTAACCTACAAAAAATTTAAAGAAGTACTTAAGTTCTTTAAATTTGATTTATTTTCAATTTTTTTAATGAGATATAATTTTAATAAAATGAAGTCAACATAAATTTTATAGTTATTATCTGGTTGGGAAAAGGCCGCTGCCTGTACGATGTTAAACGTGGCCCTTGCCTGTAAGATGTTAAACGTTCGGACTTAAAAAAATTTTAACGTTAAGTTATCTCGGAAATGCTATAAAACTTTTATGGATTATACATAAAGGCAATTGAGTAAAGTATCTTAGACATCAATACTTAATAATAAAAAGAACAGGAACAATACCACTAAATTGAAGACAATTGTTGTAGTATATCTTCTTCTTTTTTTTTTTTTCCCTTAACTTGCATTTTCCAAAACTACAATCAATATACAAAACAATAAGATTTGATATCAAACAAAAAGTTGAGCTATAATTTTACTTTTAACTTATTTTTAGAGAAATAATGTTGCTCTTGCAGTTTAAATATTCGTTCTTGTAGCTAGTGAGACTCACTTTTTATGAGTTAAGGTGAAATTTTACTTCTAAACTATTTTCAGAGGAGCAATGTTGCCCTCACTATTTAAAATTATAAAATTAAATAAAAATAAAATTATAATAATATCAAATAAAATAATATTAAATATATATATAAATAAAATTATAATAATATTAAATAAAAATAATATAAAATTTATATATAAAATAAATATAAGAAAAATATAAACTATAATTTTATAACTTGTCAAATATAAGTAAATTTTGATTAAATTATATATGAGTAGATTTAAAAGTATTTACATTTGCTCCTATAACTAATTTTTTGGTCCAAATCAAGTTATTAACGACGATTTCGGTGGATAGTTACAGGTGCAAGTACAGATATTTTTGAGTATACTCATATTTAATTTAACCAAGATCAACTTATATTTGACAATTTATAAAATTATAATTTATAATATTATTAATTTATGACATTTTATTAACATACTATACATTTTTTTCTTATATTTATTTTATATATACATTTAATATTAGTTTTTTTAATATTATTATAATTTTATTTTTATTTAATTTTATGATTTTTTAATGGTAAAGACAATATTGCTCATTTGAGAATAGTTTAGGGCTAAAATTACACCTTAACTCATGAAAAGTGGGTCCCACAAGCTACAGTAAAAGACGTTTAAATGACGAAGGCAATATTGCTTTGATTTAATTAGCTTAGGAGTAATATTACTAGGAAAAATTAATCCCCCAGTCCTTATAGTTTTATTGAGTTAACTAGGTCCTTATATTTTTTTTCTTTTTTTCGAGTCCCTCAAGTTTACTCTGTTACATCAGTTGGTCCTTTTTGTTTAAAACCGTTAATAAATGTTAACAGTGTTAAAAATTCTGTTAAGTAACAATTACGTGGCAATATAATGGGGATTTTGTTTTCATCAAATCTGACTGAGCACCAAAAATTAAAAAAAAAACATTTGAAATAGGAAACTTGTTCAGTTCATGTATACTAAAGACGTAAAGAAGCGCAACCAAGAAGCTTCACATTTAAGGTTGCCATTGTCTCTTTTGTTCCATTGATATCGACGTAGGAAAGGAGGCAAAATCATCATCATTGAGCTCCATAAGGTTAGTCAACTGTCTTCTCTGTTTCATCGTCCTTTCTCCCTCTAGGTAAGTCGAGTTTACGCTTTTGAGTTCCATCTAGTGAAACAAAGAAGTCAAGAAGAGAAGGTCAGAGGGAAAACATTACTCTGAATCTTTTTTTTCTATCATTGAATGAAGATAGGACTAAGTTAATGCTTTAGTGGAGATAGGATCAGGTGAGAGTTTTTTTCCAACAAGAAAATCACAATACGAAACGAAGCTACAGCATAGGAGTAGATGAATGACGTGCTGGGATTCTGCAAGATGTAAATTTTTTATAGATATAATTTACAGATATAAATTGCAAGATGGAATTTTCTATAAATATAAAAGTGGTGGGCCTTTAGTCAAAGATGTGCTGGGATTTCTTTTAGTTGGTAACCCTTAAAATTGAATTTTTTATGTTAGGAAGTTTTTTTCCATCATTTATATAGCTTCCCTGGTTAAATCTAAATGTAGGATAATGGAGGCTTTGAGTATAAATAATATCAAAAAAGAATATTAAACTAAGTGCTGTCATGATTTTTTAGTGTAAGGTAATGTAATTGGCATCTTCACGTGTCCTTTGAAAATCAATATATTATCTACATATATATTTATATGATTTAGTGTCATCATCAAATATGCATGTTATGGTATTAAATTTCAGGTATATGATGGAGCATGAAGAAAACATAGAAGGAGTGAGTGGGGATGAAATGCTAGAATACTTGGATGATAGTGATGAAGCAAATTTGGGTGATGATTACTTCAATGAATTTATTGGCATTGACATAGTGGATGGTATGGGACAAGGTTGTAGTAGCTATTCAAATGTGTTAGACCACCAACATGAAGATGTACCAATTGTTCCTTCCTTTGGAGTGTTAGATGAGAACATTGATGATTTGTTATCAGAATTAGAAGATGAGGAGTTATATGAAGAATATGCAATTGATGAAGATGAAGATAAGTCGATAACAAGATACTACAAGTACAATCCAAATGAGATGTGCAAGGACTTCAAATTTAGTTTAGGGATGGAGTTTACTTCAATCAAACAATTTAGGGATGCTCTAAAGGAGCACTCTTTGTTGAATGGTTATGCATTTGACTATATAAAAAATGATAAAGAGAGATGTCGAGTGAAATGCACTAATAGATGTGGTTGGCTAATGTTTGTAAGCAAAGAAAGTGACTCATTGACTTATCGGCTGAAGACATTAAATCCAAGGCATGCATGTGGAGTAACAATCAATGCAAAGAGGGCTTCATCAGAGTGGATTGCTGAAAAAATAGTTGATAATGTCAAGATTAACAAAGATATTAAGTTGTCAGATGTGCAAGCAACCATAAGAAAAGATTACATGGCTCAACCCTCAATTAACAAAGCATTTCGGGCTAGAAAAATTGCAAGGGAGATGATTGAGGGGAATCATAAAGAAGAATATGCTTACTTGAGGGACTATTGTTTGGAAGTCAAGTCAAATAATCCAAGGTCCACATTTTGTCTTGTCACAGATAAGCCATATGTAGATCATCCGCGAGTATTTAGAAGGTTGTATATGTGCTTGGAACTAGTGAAAAGAGGCTTCAAGGTAGCATGTAGGCCAATTATTGGATTGGATGGATGCTTTCTCAAAGGCCCATATGGTGGTATATTATTAGTAGTTGTAGCTCGTGACCCTAATGAGCAATATTTTCCTCTAGCTATGGCAGTGGTGGAGACAGAAAATAGGGATTCTTGGACATCGTTCTTGAAAAATTTGTTTGATGACATTGGCACCATGGCTAAAAAAAAGGGTATTTATTTCAGACCAACAAAAGGTAATTAAGATCTAAAGTACTTTAATTATCATATTTCTATTTATTTGTTCACATAATAGGTATTGGTTTTAAGGTGCAGGGTTTGGTTCAAGCATTAGGAGAGTTGCTTGGAGGTGTTGAACATCGTTATTGTGTAAGACACTTGTATGCCAATATAAAGGCAAGGTATGGTGGAGGAACTTTAGTGAAAGACTTAGTGATTTGCACAGTAAAGGCAACTTACCCACCGGCATGGGAAGGGATAATGAATGAGTTGAAAAAAGTTTCAAAGAATGCATATGATCACTTAATGACTTTTCCTCTATCTTGTTGGACCAAGGCATATTTTGATGATTATTTTAAGTCTGATATGATAATGAATAACATATCAGAGTCTTTTAATGGTCAATTATTGGAGGCAAGAGAACGTCCAATTATTGGTCTTCTTGATTGGATTCGAACTTATTTGATGGATAGATTTCATCAAAATCGAGTAAAAGCAGAAAAATATCGTGGCAAGGGATCTGTGTGCCCTCAACCTCGTAAGAGGCTTGACAAAGAGATAGAAAAATCTAGAAAGTGGGAACCAAGGAGGGCTAATAATGCTCAATTTGAAGTATCATACAACTCTTAAAGGTTTATTGTTGATCTTCATTCTAAGTCATGTGCTTGTCGATGGTGGCAACTAACTGAAATACCTCGCAGGTTTGTTTATAACTCACTTTCAAAGTTTCATTTATTCAATCTTTATAACTAATATTCTCTATCTTTTAGGAATGTTGTTAGTTGCATTTATGCCAATCGATTAAACCCCATTGATTATGTGGATTCAATACTAAGTCTTGAAGCTTATGTGGAGTGTTACACTCCTGTGATCCAACCTATCAATGGAAAAGAGATGTGGGAGCACACAAGCTTGGAACCAATTAATCCCCCCAAATATCACAAGCGTCTAAGTAGACTAAAGAAGAAATGAAGAAGAGAGCAAGATGAACCTCTACCTCCAAACAAGGTTAGAAGATCCAATACAAGTGTCAAGTGTAAGATCTGTGGGAATTCCGGCCACAACCGAAGGACTTGCCCACAACCAGTCAATTAAATGAGGGATACAGGATGTAGTAGCCAACATTGATGTTTAAAGGTTTAGATTATGATATTTTAGAGTTTTTTGGATGTGGCTTCATATGCCATTTTGTTGTAGTTAATAAGGTGTGCTCATGTACTTGGAGATGATTTTATATATATTTTGGATTTAGTAATTGAGAAATGATGTCATGTATTTGGTAGTTAACTCCAATCTTCCAGGATGTGTCAATGGATATGATTATTACTCAAGCTTGGCTATTTTCTTTTTTCTTTTTTTCTTCCTTGTTGGTTAGAGGTTTTCCTTCCTTGGCATGTTATTTATCTACCCTTACCAATAGAAGTGTGCTACTTTTGGTGTATCTTTATCAGGTTGTGAGAATTCACTATAAGCTTGTGAGAATTCTCTATTGAGTTCTATGAAATTTACCTTTGCTTTTAATTCTAAAGTAATATTATCAGGTTGTGAGAATTCACTATAAGCTTGTGCTAATCAATGAAGAAACTAGAAGGGGTGACAATTTTCTAAGTTGGCAAATTTTTGTCTTGTGATAGAGAGAACATGGCAATAACAACTTTTAACCATTCAATAAAATAGTACATTGCATTACAAGAATATAAAGTAGGATAATGAAATATCCTTGTTACCATTCAATATCAATTTTTTACATCAATTCTTAAACATGGTGGTTTACATGCCACTTCACAAGAAGTTACAAGATGGGAGCCTACAACTCAAAGTGGTGCTAAAAACAGTCTGCCATACACTTTAAAATATGCAGCAGAAATGAATAGCAGCAGCAGCAAGGTAACAATCCTAAAGTCCTGAACAACAGCAGCAAATAAAACTTTCAAATGTTCAAACTAAAAATCCTAAAGTCCTGAGCAACAGCAACAAGCCAGAAGCCTAGTTCTTCAATTCTTCCCAAGTTACAAAAGCATATGCAGCAAGCAAACCATGCGAGTCTTCAAAACCAGCTCACTCTTTACATTAGAATTTCTTCCATCATCTAAAATGTTCCTGAAAGAAACTGACCAAAACAATATTCAAAGGATCAGAATAGTCATCCAACTATCAAATTTTCACAGAATAAGCATAATTGCAAGAATCAAATAACCAAAATACTAATTCCACTTGCAAACAAAAATGAATTTTTGGTTACAGATGCAAGGAGATAAAGCACCACACAGATTCAGTTGATGAAGATTTAAGGAATCTATCATTGAATCAGCGTATAATGACACTTTATTAACATATACCTTTAACTAAAAAATGTGAAGAACCTAATTGAGAAGGAAAAGAAAAATTGAGAAATCAAAGGAATCTAAATCTATACAAATCTTCTGTGAATGCTGCAAATTTCAATTCCTAAAATGGAGAAGGAAATTGTCACTTCAATCAGGTACAGATCCAAATACGAATTTGATGATGAAGAAGGAAATTGCCATTTAAAAAGCATACCCATCCGGATCTTAAATTGAGATTAATTTTCACAGTAAAGAAGCATAGTTTCTAGATTTAACATATTTAAGATTTTAATTCTGCAAGTAACAAGCATAGAGTTAGAGAAGGTACCACTAAAGGCTGTGCCAGAGGAAGCGACATTGAGGGAAGAAACCCAGATTAAATAGATTCTCTTGTCTCATAAACAGTTGCCTCAACATGCCAAATTTATCTAAGAACTTGGTCTAAGTTTTGATGAAGAAAAAACCCAGAAGGCCGGCAGAGACATTAAGGGAATGCATAATTCCAGTGGTGAGATTCAATTTCATTACTATGAACTTGAATAACACGCTCAACAAAAGGCTCACCACAAGAGCTCTTATCGTCAGCTGATTCCTCCATGGCGGCATCTCTACCAAACCATCTTCCCTTCTCCTCCCTTCTCTGCATACTTGAACACTCACGAACTTGATGTCTCCCTTTGTGGCTTTGCTAAGCCACCTTCCCTCCTCACCTCTCTTCTCTGATGTGCGTACCCACCCTGGCGAACTCGACCTCCCCCTCTACAACTCTGCCGAACCACATCTCCCTTCTCCTCCTCTCTTCGATGCTCTGCTCGCTCGAACCCTAGCGATTGAAGGAGAAGAGCGCAGGGCCGTTTTCTCAGAAAACTGATTTTCATACGTGGCATATATGTTTCATCTGATCCCACTTGTAAAAAAATGCCCACAAGACTGCTGCCACATCATGATTATTTAACGAAAATTTTGACACTGTTAGCACTAATTAACGATTTTAAATTAAAAGGATTAATTGGTGTAACGGAGCAAATTTAAAGGACTTAATAAAAAGAAAAAAAAACTATAAGGACCTGGTTACAAACTCAATAAAACTATAAGGATTGGGGGATTAATTTTTTCATATTACTATAATAAATAGTTTAGGAACAACATTACTCCTCCGATAATAGTTTAAAGGTAAAATTATTCTTTAACCCTAAAACAAATATCATAGTCAAATCTTGAAAATAAACTCACTATAGAATATAGATGATCATTATGAATGATATGGTATAATTAATCTGAACAAGAAACTATTGAATTCTAAAGTTAATAAAAGCTAAATAACGATATGTGGTGCAAATATCTATTATATAGTAATCTTTTCAATTTTAGATCTATTAGCCTTTGTCTCTATCCCGTCCCTTATAAGGTGTTTCCTATATGAGAATCAATTAATAAATGAAGAAAATCATTAATTAATTATTGAAAAAGGACATTAAAACAAATAATAGCAAAGGATCCCTTTCTACCCTTTATGCCATTCACCAAAGAAGATAGTTAATTATACATTACAACATAAGTTTTGTACAAAGCTTCCTAATAAGAGTGTAAAAATTTCAAATTCTTTCATACTCAAATACCTCTATCTCTCACTATCACTCCTTTATGAAAGAGTAGGACAATTTAAAGGAAATCCCTATAATTTGCTCCTATTTTATTATATACTCTTGCACTTTTTTTTTTTTTCAGTGTGTTGGATCCCTACACTTTCATTTTTCAGTGTTTTACGTCATCCAAGGTCTTTACATTTTATTTCTTTAGGGACCTAAAACACCACAAAATGAAAGTGTAGGGATCCAAAACACAAGTAAAAAAGCGTAGGGACTTATAACAAAACATGAGCAAAATATAGGAACCAAAAAGTATATTTTTCCTAGTTTAAATTAGTCCTACAAATGAAAAAAAATCAGTGAATATATATATATATCTGAATTTTTAATACTTAATAATCACTATGTCAAGTACTTGTAATAATGTCAATGACTATGCAACTCATGAACATACAAAATTAATATGATATGAATAAATTGAGGAAAACTATGCAAATTCTTCAGTGTTTAGTATGCAAATTTAAATACACAAATATGTTTCCTTGTTTGGTTGCCCAAGGTATCTCTACAGTTGGTAACCATGAGACTAATCCCCCAAAAAATCATAATGCAATTCAAGAGATTATCCTCTTTCAAGTAATATTTTTCCATACACGCCTTCAGGAATCAAATCTTAAAATGATGCTTAAGGGGCCTAGACCACTACCATCTATGCCACATTCACTAGGTACAAATATATTTTCTTATTAGATGGATTTCGTTAATGAACTTTATTTTGTAAAAAAAAAAAATACTTAACATTAACAATTTTATGGTTAATTTGTATTGTAGATAATTAAAATTACCCTTAGTAAAACACGATCACAGTCTTGATTGAGTTGTTCTAATTGAATATTATTTAATATTTTATTTTTCCCTTTCAATTTCAAAGCTGTTGAATGTTGTAATAGTTAAATAAATTTTTATTAATATGTCATTAATCAAAAGTGATGTTATTTATTTCATTATTACGTAATAATTTCCAGTACTTAATAAATTAATAAAGAAATTGTTTATACATAAACAATAAAGAATTTAAAGATTGTAATAAAGGACTTTGTATGGGTAAATACATTATTATTAATGATATTAAATACTTACAATTCAATATTGGGAAACGTTTTTCCTTAATGAATATGAAACGTTTTTCCTTAATAAATACCAGCGAATGGCTAGATACATTATAGGATGGGAAAAATTTGTTTATTCTTAATTTGTTTACAATTCAACATTCGTGGCTTCTTAATTTGTTTATTCAGGCAGCCCTTCTTTTCATGTCAATGATCTGTTTTTTTTTTTTTTTTTGTGGGTGTAGTCAGATGTTAGTTTAATGAAATTAGTGCAAAGAACATAAGAATAAAAAGAACCATACCATTATTATTGGCCATTGCATAGGGTTGGTGAACACAACATGATTCAGGAGCACATAGATGGGGAGACTGTCATGAAGGGGTCTTCGGTGCTCAACAGAGGTGCTCATCAAGCAAAATAAATCTGTGCCATTTAGATTAATTTTAATTTTATATTTATTAAAATAAAAATTTATAAATATTTTTGATAAATATGTTCATCATCAATTTGGATAGTACTTATCTAATTTGAATTGTCCAATTTAATATTATAGTTTTTATAAATTGACTATCTACATATACTTTAGACAATTTAGATTCAATATTAAATTTTTATATGAAAAGTCTAGATTTAAAGTTTTTATTTTTTATTTTGATAAATAAAATATTTAAAAATAAAATATATAATCTTTTAACTATAAATTTTTTAAAAATATTTTTTTAAAAAATACAAGTTAAAAATTTTAAATTTAGATTGTACAGAATACATCTAGAAAATCTATATAAAAAAATATAAAAATTTTAATATCAAATTAAACCCTCCAAGTTAAATATAGACCAGATTAATCATAAAAAGATATATTAAAACTTTTTTTATAATTTTTATTTTAAAAAATATAAAATAAAAATATTAAATTAATTCTTTAAATTTAGACCATCATGGAGGGATATTCTCCTGATGAGCATTGAAGATAGATCTGTCATGAAGGGATGTTCTGTAATGTAGTTAGGAAGTACTTTCAAACTATTTACAATATAATAATTACTCCCTCTAGTCCTATATATAAGGCAAAGAGAGAAGAATTTTTTTAGTTCTATTTATAAGTCATGTCATTAAATTTTTATTATAAATTTTCTCTTTTACCCTCCATTGAATATTGGAGAGAGAAAATTGTTATTGAAGTATGTATATTTAATAAGGGCAAAGTTAAAAACTTGTTAAATTTTAAGATAGAGTTAATAAGTTTTACAGTTTTTCTTGATATTAGTGAAACATATTAAAGATAACTTATAAATAAAATCAGAAGAGTACACATAAACTACTAAATCATATTTACAATGCACAATTTATTGGTCCACTGAAAAAGGTTGCTCTTCCCAAGATTAATATAAAGAAGAATGTCTTAGGAAGATGCTTTGTTATCATTCTCAATATCCTAAAAAATATCTCTGCTGCTTTTATCAATTCAGGAAAACTGATAATTGAATTTCAAAACTTAATTCTAATGGCTTAAAGTGTCACGAATAGATGAAATTCATTTCTTAAATGAAGATGTTGTATTTAAAACAGGGTTCTCAATAACTCTCTTTCTTTTCTGATTTCATTGTGATCTTTGAGAATGTTGAAAGATGAAGAGGGTCACGTTCCACACGGTTGTTATTGGAGGTTATAAATGAATAGTTGTCATTGTACACTGATGGTCATATTCTCATTCTAATCTGTCAGGGCATGATGAATGATTAAATGATGGTCATATTATGTATGAGGTGTAAATGTTTTGAGCTTGATATCAATGTGTGTAAAAGGATCGATGGATTTTAAAGATTTTTTTTTTTGGTCCATGAAGACATGTAAATCTTTTTCAAATACTTACCCAAAAATGGCATTGTCAAAAGTTTTATTAATTTCATTCCTTTATGTATTATTTGAACTGCGTACGAGATGTTCAAGTACAATTGCTGATTTTATTCAGTAAAAATACAAAAATATAATGAGTCATGTAATTTACCTATTGTATATATTTGTTTATAAGTTATAGTTTGGAAAGCGCAATTTAGTGATATATATATATATATATATGTATATATATATATATGTATATGTATGTATGTATTATGTTCATAACATCAGATAAGCAATGACAGAGGATTGTATGCTGTTGTAAAAACATGTTATTCACTTTCAAAAGAATTTGCCACTCAATTCTAGAGTAGGTAGAGTAGGTAGTTTGAATGAGCTGGATTTATTTAAATCAAATTTAAAGTATTTAATCCTCTTAAAAAAAGCTATATAGTCAAGCCTAGTCATAACTTTTTTCAACTAGGTTTGAGTTAACCCGTCAAGTTTGGCCAAAATTACTGACTATACATACATATAGAGTTAGGAATTCTAATAATCAGGCTTATTCAGGTCGGATTCAATTTAGGCTGGACTTGTTCGGATTGAGCTTAAAACATTATACTCTCTTGAAAAAGCCCGTATAGTCAAGCTTGGCCCTAATTTTTTTCGAGCAAATTGGGGCTGACTCATTGGGCTTGGCTTGAATTACCGGTTTTACAGTCAATTCATTCCATCCAATATCATAATAAACAAAGACAAGTAATATAATTAACAAAAAAAAAAAAATTGAAGTACATAGTACATTAAAAAAAGAAAAGAAGCTAAACATGTCGATACATGAGTGGTCCATAAGTAGTACCAGAGGATATTGGATTCCATATCATGACATAATTAGCATGCATTTTTGCTAAGTCTACTGACATTGCAACTGAATGAGACATAATTAGATAAAGGTAAAATTAAACTAATTAACTCTACTACAAAAGTGCTGGCAAGAATTTGACTGCAAAATTGAAGGAGTTTTTGGGGTTTGACTTTCCCCAAAAATACTCAACATTAAGAACACAAAAAATAATGCATAATCATATTGCATATTTGAAGGAATTCCTGAACGAAGACTCTGAGAAAAAACAGACTCAAAATGCTGAATACAAAATTTGATGTCGTCTAATACTCATTCAAAATATAAAGCAAAAAAAATGCTTAGAATTAACAACTAAGACAATAAACTTATACAGTAATAATTCCCTTCTTCTCCAATTCTCCTCCTTGATAACTCTTGGATTCTTGGTTGAGCTCAAAGATATGTGTACACATTTCACCTATACCCGTCGAATCTGGAATAGTCATTGACAATCATAGAATTCCTTTTCTTGCTATTAATTTCAGGAGCAGTAAATGACTCTGGTGTAGCTAAGGTGATCAGAAATTAAGGTTATTGAATTGCTCATCAGTAAATGACTCTGGTGTAGATAATGTTCTTCTCCTTCTGACAATCCTTACAAGTAATTAATTATATTTATCAAGGTGAAAGAAGTAACCAACACATTCAACACATACAAGCTAATGAAGACTTCTTGGCATTAAATAACTAAAGAACAAAATAGTTCGACTCCAAATATTCCAGCCAAAGCTAATTAATGAGAATAATTAATTCCGATTATTCCAACAGATTTTATATGAGATAAGAAAATGCCAATTTTCCTTGCTTCCAGAAGCTGAGTCATTACAAACAAATGGCAATAAAGAAACCAATCCCAAAATCCCCAAATATCCCCACCTTTTAAGCAGCAAGTTAGCCAAACCACAGCTCAATCTCTTACACCCATGAAATTGGTGCATCACGCTAATGAACTGTTTTTAATCCATCAAACATAACTTGTTATTAACATTGCTCAAGTTCAATGAAAAAAATTCATATCATTATGCGTTCTTATCTCTTTCTGAAGCTATTTTACAACTTCAAGTCTAAATGAAGCAAATCTTAGAAATGGTTGAAAAAAATCATTGCAATAACATGATGAACTTACTCCATGGATAGGCATGTTAAAGATTCCTCAGGTCTCAGGGTTGGTGTCACTTGGCAATAGAGTAAAACCGCTAATGTCAATGCACATGCAGCCACTTTGTCCAGAAGCAGTAAGACATTTGCAGATTTGCTGGGAGGAGAGAGAAAAAATAGTTTTGAATCAACTACCTTAGAGTGCACATGATTTTTCTGAGGACGATCAATGGATAGGCATTTGCATGATGAATTTACTCCATAGATGGGCATCTTAACATGTCAGCATTGTTAGTCATGAACTTGAGATTTTGTAGAGACTGCATATTTAAGGTTATACTGAAAAATGAAGCAAATGACTAAGTTAATGATTAGTTCCTCAAAAAAAAAAAAAAAAAATTACAGATAGACACTTACTGGCAAAAATAGACTATAACTGAAAAAATATACTTGGAGACTCAAGTAAGGGGCATCATCAGCACAAGTTATGATTCATGAATCAAGAACTAGAACAAAGAAAAAATCTGCTTCTTCACCATTCAAAGTTCATCATCAGATACTCTCATAAGATAGCCTGTGCCAGACTCAAATGATATATTGCAAATCATTATTATTATAAAATCATACCCGCCCTAAGCAACTAATTGCTTCGCCCCAAATCCTTTACTGGAAAAAAAAAATCCATTACCAAAATTGCAACTTGGAAAATGGAACAATATAAGCTTTAAATCTTGCTTCACCCAAAATCCCCCTTCATCTCCTTCTCTGTGTTGCCTTTAGATTCTACACGAACATAATCACAAAATTTGAAAAAGAAAAAACTCAACCATTATTCAAGACAAAACGTACTCAGAACCATAAGCCAGTATTTAGTTGCAAGATTGGCCAATATGGTGATTTAATTTAAGCGTGCATGATGTAAATATGAATTTTCCTCATTATTGTCATCTATGAGATAACAGTTTCAGCTTCGCATTCATACATAAACGAATAAATAATTGCGCTAAGATCAGAGAAAGGCACGCCCTGGCCTTCTTTTTGAAATTCAATTTAATTGTCTCCTATCAAGTAGTCCTTTGCTTCCCCTATTTAAGGGAAACCAACTTTTCAACTCTAAATAGAACATGTATTTTATTCTTTAAGAAATAACCTTATGACATTGAACCATGTCTACTACACGCCTTGATTTTATTTCAATTGAAGCCAGATCACATTTGAACAGAAGATTTTGAGATAATAGCAAATTCTTGATGTTCACTTTTTAAGGATGAAAAGCAACAACTTCATATGAGGAATATTTTAATAAGATATAACTAAAGAAAAAGCAAAACGTAAGCGGAGCAGCAGACCACAATTATCCAGAAGGCATAATTTGAGTGGCATGACCACTAAGCGCTCAGTACAGCAGGACCAAGAAATTGTTCATGGAAGAAATAATTCACATCACAAAGATATTACAATGAGATACAGACATGGGCATGTGCAAAGAAGGAAAGTAACAACCATATAAGAGGGCATGCTGCTCAACTGTTGAATTTGAACACTGAAAGGAATATATAGGAACAATAAAGCAGGAGAGAAATACATCAGGCCTCAGTCGATGGAGAATGGAGAAGATGAGAGACTATCGGGAAGTATATGGGTCAACAGTTATTATAAATGAGAAATGCGTTCACAATTAATGAGGTCGAAAAGTCATTTTCAATATCCCTATTTTTGAATAGGCCAAATTCGATGAATCAGAGAAAGCTTCTTGATCTTAAACATGATACAAGATCCCTGATATGAATAATTGAAAAAAGAGAGATTGAAATAGAGGACGACTCCATGGCGATGCACAAAAGAAGATAAATGTATACAGAAAAAGATCAAAACACTTGAAATAGAAGACCCAACTCACAATACCTGAGAGTCATAAACAATAGCATCGACAGTTAACCACATAACTGAAACCCATGTCATTCAAACACGTATCTTAGAATGGACAAGACCTTCTTCAAGTAGCCTCAATCAAAGTCCATCTGTATGAATGACGAGAACGTCAACAGAAATAGAACAAAAAAAGGGAAAAGTAAGATCAAAACAACTTGTAACAGATGAAGGAGAAAGAACAATATACCTTCACGCAGTGGAAACTCGACCAAAGAGAGAGGAGATGAATGCCAATGCAGATGAGAAATCGAAAATAAGAGACGAGGAAGGGGAGGAGTCACAAGGAGAAAGGATTTTAAAAGGAGGGAAGCCAGTTGGAGGGGGTCCGGTTTCGAAGGACTCGGCTTCACTCCTCTATGCCTCGCTCCTCCGAGCCCCCGCAAGACAATAGCATAATATAGCTTGGTGCAGATTTAATATTTTATTTTTTATTTTTATTAAAATAAAAAATAACACAATTTTTAAAAAAATTTAGTTACAAATTTGGACCATCTGAATTTAATTTTAATGATTTAAATTTAATATTTAATTTTTTTATAAATTATTTATCCAAGCATATATACTCTAAACAACAAAGTATTGAAAATCAAACTGATCACTGAACTAGTTAAGACAATAGGTTACGGATTAGTGGTTCAATTGAGGTTGAATCAAGGGTTAACTCGGAAAGCGAATTGATTATAATTAAAATAATATAATTTAAATAAAAAGGCTTTAATTATGAAAACATTAAACCAAATCCAAGATTAATGTGTAATATAATATACAAATACAACAATAATTATAGACAACCACCCAAAACTCTAATAATAATAAAATACAACATTCTAAATGTTCGTCCTTGAAATCACAATTCTTCAATCATTAAAAAAGTCTAAAACTAATAATCATTAACACCAAAATTATCATTAACTTCATTCAAAACTCTAGGAATTGAGACATTAAGGGTTGAATTCAAAAAACTAGAATCGCTCGCAACATCATTAGGCAAAGATGGGTGCTATGGAACATTCATATATTCATCACCTACCATAAACAAGAATTAAAAATAATGAATGTGTAAAAGAAAAAAAAAACTGAAGGAGTTATAATGTTATAATCTTGTATTAGACTTGACAGTAGGTTTACACCTTCATAATCCCTCTCAAGAATTGATGGAGCATCTATGGTTTCATTATTAATGGCACTTTAAAGATTTGCAACATCTTGAGAATCAAACTCAGGAGCTGGCTCTTTCTCTTTCTTGTCCATCAAAAAGTCTACTTTGTCAATTGATTCATAATTAATGGGATCATAACTTTTCTTATTCTTCAATTGACTCCTTAAAAAAAATAAAGTAATCAAATATGACAAACAATAATAGAATTCATATTCAATTGTAAAACCATAAAAGGCTAAAAGCATTCTTTAATCATTACTCTGATTGTTACCTATGCTTCAATCACAGATTATGATTCGTAAAAACGAAATCATTCAACCTTTGATGTTGTAATCTATTTCTTCTTTTGGTATGGATACATTCAAACAAACTCTAATTTCTTTCACAGTTAGAAGAAGAAGAAGTTTGGCTAAGAATACACATTGCAAGACTTTGCAATTCTAGAACAGAACCTCCATAAAACATTTAGTTAGATGTTAATCATATCATAACTAGAATTACCATGAACATGTTAAATAATAAATATGAATACTTACAAGGATCTAGGTTCTGGGTTGCTCTCTAACATGAAGTTTTGTCAAATGATTCTTTATGATCACGATACAAACTCAACTACTTCATCATCACAATATAATCAACTTCTTCACTTTCATTTGACTCAAACACATTAAGCATTACATCCATTAACATTCTCTTATGAATAAAGTTGTCATCATATAAGAATACAAGATTCAACAAACATATTTGTTGAATCTTGTATTCTTATATGTTTGTGTAAGGCTTATATTGATCTTTCTTATTGTTGAATGTCGCTTTGATTGCTTTTTTTTTTTTCCCTTTACATGCCTTTGATAAACATAAGGTAAAAAAAGCTTCTCATCTGAATCTACAATTCTTAACAACTTTATAAGGGGAGACATAACCTTCACAATTTTTAGGCAATCAACCCAAAAATGATAATATGATGGCAATAACAATTATTCCAGCTTCAATCTTTGATAACTTGTGATCCATAAAATGCTTTTCAGTTACCAAAGCTTGCAAGTCATGCTTGTGTATATGTATGTTATGCAATGTGATAAATGTAGTAGCAAATCTTATTTCACCTGGACGCACAATTTCTTTCCAACCCAGTCTTTTCCTAAGCCATGACAATAAGATCATATTGTTATAAACAAAAACTGTTATCTTTGATGACTTAATTGCAAGTGCTAACACATTGTCTAAGCTTGTTATGTCTTTTAAAGTAAGATTCAAATAGTGAGCAACATAAGGTGACCAATAAATACTTTAATATTTTTCCCTAATCAAATTGCCACATGCTACATAATTAGCAGCATTATTAGTTACCACATGAACAATGTTCTTGGGACCAACCCACTTAATCACCTCACAAAACAATGAGAACAAAGTCTTAGCATCTTTTACTAAATTTGAAGAATCATTAAATTTCACAAAAACCATTCCATGTGTAGAATAGACTAAGAAATTTATTAAAGTTCACTGCCTCACATATGTCCATCCATTAGCCATAAGTGTACATCTAGTGTTTTTTTATTTATAAGAAATTGACATTCTTTTTTCCAATCTGTCAACAAGTTCATTCTAAAATCATAAGCATTAGGGGCTTTAAAACCTAGCCCAATTGAAGTAATAGCATCTATAGCTTTTTGAAAGAAAGGATAATCTAATGCATTAAATGGAATGCAATTAATGATAGCCTATTCTACAATGTCCATCTTTGCATTATATTGTGCTTCTTTAGTTACAAATACATTCTTGTTACCTAGTTGAGAACCAGGAGTTGTCCTAAGGGCAAAATAATTCTCAAGTAAAGCAATAGGAGCTTGCCTCTTGTTAGCACTTCCCTCAGGAATTGTCTTAATTGGAGTAGGTGCAATTGGGTTATTAGTTTCATGATCCCCAATATCCACTTGTTCTTGTTCTTTTCTATTATCAAGTTCCCTTTTTCTTCCACCTTTTAAAGACTCTACCATCTTATGATGTATATCATGAGGAACTTTCTTACAAGAAACTACATGATCACTTACACCAACAAGATGTTGCTTCATTCTATTTATCCCACCTTTTTCATAACTTGATGCACAATAAAGGCAAGTACATACATTTTTACCACCCTCTTTTCTTAAGGCAATATGTGCCCATGCAAGATCAATTTTCCCACATATAGATGGAGCCCTAGATGTTGAGTCATTGCCACTAGGAGAGGGATTATTAGAATTAGGAGTAAGAGTATTAGAATTAGGGGTGGGATTTGGATTCTCATTTCCATCACCACTAGGATCAATTCCAACATCTATTTTCAATATCTAAACTTTAATCTACAAGTTAAAATTGTTCAATTAGACTCCTAGATTAAGGCAGAGATGCTGAGTAGTTTAAATAGATTTTTCAAATTCAATTTTCAACATAAAACACTTTTTGACTTTTAAGTAAGAATCAGGCATAGATGTATAGTAGTTCAATTAGACTTTGAAGTTCAATTTTAAACACAAAACATTTTTTGACATAAAATAATGACAATGAAACAATGACAAGGATCATTAGGCACATATCGATCAATTACACATAATAATAATAATCAAACAATGAATACAAGCAACTATTAGGCACACAAATCGATCAAACTATGACAATAACAAATGCTAACCAATAATCACATCAATAAAAATTTAGAAAAATGCTAAGAATCCAATAAAGAGGAGGAAGGGAATGGAACATTAATAGTAGATGGTAGCGTCGCAATGAGTTTTAATTCAAAGAGAAAACAATCTGGTGGAGGTTGAAGAGGAGAGCAAGCTTTGATTTAGTATCAATGGGGATCTTAATTAGATCGTTGTTGTCAAGTACCAACTGTTAAAGCCAGAACAACAATGATCAAACCAAAGGGTAAGTACAGTTAATCATGGTGAGCTTTAATTCAAGCATTCAACATTAATGGCCAATGATTAACTGAGTTATGACTTAAGAGAGTGATAGCCACTTAGTTTGAGGATTGATTGATTGGAGTGCAAAGTAAAGTCTGAACCTTGAATTAAGGGAGCAACGAGAAAGGAGCTTCACTGCTTCAACATTGATGGCTGACAGCTATGGATTCACGAAGTCTCAAGTTAGGCATCAAGTGAGCAATGGGCGATGGGTGACACTAAGCTAGGGATTGACTATTGAGTGAGGTTTGATTTTGAAGATGTGGATGCTCGAAACTTACCTTAAAGCAACCTGTATTGTTAAATTTAAAAACAAAAAAACACCAAAATGTCATTGTTTTGGGAGTTTTGGAAAAAAATAGTGACCTGGCCAACCCAATAACCCGTCGAGTTAGAAGGGTTGATTTGGGTTACACAAAGACTAGGTTAATCATTAAACCAGACTAATAGAAATGCTGGTTCACTAGGTTACTAATCAAATCGGTCGATCTGATCCGATTTTCCATTCAATGCTAAACAATGCATATTTAATATTAATGGTCCAAATTTAATACTAAAAATTTTAGAAATTGACATCCAGATATATTTTGGACAGTATAGTTTATCTACTAACATTTTTAAAGAAAATATTTTCATTATAAAAATTTGCGTCATTAATATTAAATCCAAACTATTCAGATTAGTAACTAAATTTATTAAAACTTTTATTATTATTATTTTACTAATAATAAAAATAAAACATTAAATTTGAACTATTTAGATTTAATCTGGACAGCCTAGATTTTGCTGTTGTGCAGTGAAGCCTTAAAGGAGTGAGGCATCAGAGGAGCAAAGCTGAGTTCGATTTCGAGGCTCTCATTTATAACAGGAGTTGAAAATAAATGCAATGGTTGAACAATAAGGGAGTCAAAGATCAGATAAAATATACAATATATACAAAATAGATCATATACTAAATGAATCCAACCAATAAGAAGATTGAAAAATTTCAGCATGTCCAATCAAATTCCATCGATACATAACCAATCGAATGCCTTTTACAACTTTTGTATAATTAGGTTAATAGGTAATGGCCAATAAATAAATTATATATACACACACAAAATCTAGAGACAATACAAAATGATGATTGACAAAAAAGAGAAACATTTTTGGATGAATGACAAGTAAATGCCCTCCAATCTAAATAAATAAATGATAAAGAAAAATATAAAATAGAATGATTATTTTGAAGTTCTTAACACATTACTTGATATTAA